GGTGGGGGTATGCAAATATTATTCTAGCGAAGGAGAGCAGCCTTTATTTCAGTATTCAGCTATTAACGAGATTTGTGGGTCTGGTACTCTGGGCCATTTAATTAATTAGATGGTACAGATAAAATATAAATTGTTTTGTAGGCTACGCAATCCTTGTCCTAGGCGATGTAAAAGGGAGGCTAAGTGAGCTTGGTGTGAATTGATTTGTTGTTATTTATGTGGCTCCCAGTAAATGTAAATCCTGCTCATTGTTTTACCGTATTAATTCCACGTGCTGTCCTCATTGTCTCTGAGTTCCATTAGAGACGATGGCATGTATTTGACTATTTTGTTAGGCGACTGTATTGCGTTTCCCCCACGCCTGCGTCGGCAAGCACACCCTGTCTGTGGAAGGGCGGGATCAGTAGCAGATCTCCCAGAAATTTTCCATGTTCTTGAATAAGAAGTTTCTGTTACTTTATAACATCATGTAGGTGAAATAACACCTAATCCGATAAACCCGGGGAGACTGTATGGCATTTTGTAAGAGTCTCATTGGGGTCAGTGAAGAAATAATGTGACCTGCCCCGCTACCGGCAACAAGGAGACAGGCTGCAGATGTATGTCAGGGAGGCAAGAAGCCTCCAGTTACATGGCCGCCGGCGAATGAGCTCGCCGTGGACCCCGCCTTCGCGTGCTCGTCCTCGGGCCCCGCAGGGCTGTGACAGGAACGTCCGGGGACAGCGCGGGGTCGGCGAGCGGGTCGGCGAGCAGGGCTGCGGGCCGGGATCTGCCGTCCTTGGTTTGCATCCTCGGGGACGCCCGTGCCCGGCCCCTGCGCGCGTTGCTGGCTGCCCGGCCCCCAACAGGGAAGAGCAGAGGGTGCTCCACTGACGCTGCAAAGCGGCACAGCAGCACCATCTTAGGACAAGGTTTGAAAGTCTTCCTTCGACTTTATTATGAAATAGAAACTGCGAAATAATTACGCACACAAATGACTAAATATTTTTTCTGAGCTAAAATTGGACTTAGCTTACAATTTTGCTTTGGGGTGAAATACGCACTTCTTCCCACTCACCTTCAGGCTTCATTGGCCCCTGAGCAGCGAGTGGGCCTGTGGCTTCGCTCTGCCCTGGGCCCCGCTCTGCCCTGGGCCCCGCTCTGCCCTGGGCCCGGTTCTGCCCTGGGCCCCGCTCTGTCTCCGGCTGCCTCCCCGCCTCCCCTCCTCCCTGCCATCGCCCGCTTCTTAACGAAAAGCAAGGCAACTTCCCGAAGGAAACATGCTTTTAGCACCTTGGCTAAATAAAAGAGGGATATGTAAGGAAGTGCAGGAACTGGAGCCCCATTTCCTGAAGGGATTTAATAGCCACATTTACAGTAATTGCGAAAACAGAAGCCCACGCGCCCTGTCGACAACCTTGAACGCACACAGACGCGTCCCTGTGCGGGGCTGAGCGCCTGCGTTCCCGGTCGGCCTCTGGGAAACACGCTTCTGGGCATCTTCTCCTGTTCATCGCCGTGCAAGGCCATCCCAAGATAAGTAAGGGATAAAAAGAGATGGATAACCTGTCCCGCCCACGCAGCCTCCCTCTCCAGCAGAGCCAGTTAATGAAGGGTGATAACTATTCCAATTCAACACACGTTAGAGACGCCAAGACAGATCAAACCATTTGAAAAATATTATTAGCATAAAAATATGCAGAATTAACAGCCAGGAAGTTATTTACTGAAAACATTGGTCAGGATAGTCAAGAGGTTTATATAAGTAATAAAGAGATGTCCTATTAATGGTGTATTTTCTCTACTTTTTGTGAAGTAAAATTCTTTAAAAATTGCAAACTTTGATAGTCAAATAGGCTACAAATACAGAACCTAGATTATAATTGTGAAAACAATTTGGGATCTATTATCCTAATCTGGTAACCATGTTATGTGTACGAATAGGAACGTAGAGAAGGTAAAGATGGAACAGACACACAATATTGAATGTTAAGATGAGTCCTTGCTTTTTTATATTATACCCATGAAGACACAGATTACTTCCTGAAAATTTTGCGAATCCCTAATACTTGAGACAGGACTCAAGAAACAACCGTCTCTCTCATTCTCCTCTTTTTGTAGGTGGGCGCGTACCGACGTCTGCCCGCGCGCTTGACCCCGAGCCCGCGGCGGACCCCGCCCTCACTCGCGTGTGCGCGCCCTTAGCGCTGGCGGCCCCCCGCCCCCGCCTCCTCGCTGCAGGCAGCCCCGCAGCGCTGCCTTCCTGTGGGTCCCCGAAAACGCTCTCACGGTCCCCACGCCATCTTTGTTAACCTCCTCTGCCAGCCCCTGCTTCTCTCCTCCGTCCGGGCGTGCACACGCGTGCACTCGCACGCACGCACACGCGGGTGACTGACCAGCCGCATCCAACCCCTCGTCGTTCCGGTCAGCCCGGCTGGAAGCGTGTGAGACCGGGGTCGCTTTTCAGGCCAGCGGGCGCTCTCCCTCTTGGGCCCCGCCTCCCAGAGATGACCCTTCGGCTCCGGCCTCGCCTGCAGCCCACCCTCCGCTCGGCCGCACCGGCTGCGCTTTCCGCAGGGGGGACGCCCTGTCCCCGCGGCCCGCAGGACCCCGAAGGCGACCCCTGCGGCTGCTGCTCGGAGCTCGTGGGCCGGGCCGGCGCCCTCCCGGCAGCTCTTCGCCGGCGCTGCTCAGACTCAGATCCCTTTTTCTCTACGATGCTCCCCACCACCGACGTACACTATTTTGCTTACTTAGTATTTATCCTATTAGCTTATCTTTCTCTCTGCACCAGAATGCAAGCTCTCGCACAGCTGCTCCGTAGTAGGCGCCCCGTGAACGCAGGGTGCGGGAAGGGCTGGCGTCCGGCCCAGCGCGCCGCGTTCGCCCTTCCGCATCCGTGGGAACTCCTGGCCTCGCCCCCGGGCAGCGTCTTCCCGTTCGCCGGGGTAGCGCTGTCGTCTGGAAGACGCAATCAAGCGGTTTCAACCTGGCCACCGGGACCCCTTTCAGTTCTGCTCGTTTGTCCTCTATGCCACTGCCTGTTACCCTTGAAAACATTCTGCGTAAATGGGAAAGAAAGAAACCCGACGTCCACACGCAGTGCAGTGATTCCCACCCGCTCGGAGGCCTGGAAGTAGCTCCCCTCCGCGCAGCCCCGCTGCGTTGGAGAGGAAAACAGTTGTAGAGACCAAACTCTGGGTTCTCGGGGTGCCCTGAAAACTGGCACTGGGTACAGTCTCGTACCCCTGCGACTTCTGCTGCTGGGACGCGTTAGTGGCAGGAAACTTTTTTGAAAAGTCTTTTTTAAGGTCAGGTGCCGCTCTGCTGTTTCCGATTTTGCCGATTGGATGGCTCGCCCCAGTTCCCTTCGTATGTGATTTCTTTGATTGTCCTCTCAGGCTTTCTCTCGCTCACTGTGACTGTTTTTGTATCTCTAGAGTCTAGACCAGTGGCAAACAGTAAATGCTCAGTACATGTCTGATAAGTCAATTAATTTTTGCACGGACGGGTCTGTGCAGACGAGGAGTTTTAAGGACCAGTGCAGCGCGGACCAGGTGCGCCTGCGCATGCGCTGTCTCTCCCGGGCGTGTTTGCGAGACCTAATCGGAAAGCAGGTTCCCAGGACCGGGCGCGCGCGGCACGCCTCGCCTGCCGCATGGCAGCGCATGCTCCCTCCCGCGCACAGCGCCAGGCCGCTTGCAGCACAGGCTCTGGGCGTCGCTCATAATCCACGGGTGTGAAAATGTCACCCAATGTCAAGTCTCTCTCCAAGGGGCTCGAAGTGCTTTACAGAGATTAGGACTGGGGACGGGTCGCCTGGGGAGTAAATCACGATGCTTTGAAATAACACGGCACTGGCCACCCGTGGGGCCCCAGGCACCTCCCGCGACTGGCCTCGTTCATCCTCACCACGTCCCTGCGAGGAAATCAGATACTGCTTCCGCCTCGCAGGGAGAAATTGTCACAAAGTGGTCTCAAGGTGTGTCAGGCGATGCGCGACAAAGAGGGAAAGCAGGGGCATGGGGCGAAGATTGTCTCTCTTCGACCAGCAGTTGCCGGCAAGACTGGCCTTTTCTGCATCAAGAGTTCGGTGGGATCGCCCCTCCGAAACCTGTGAACGGTTTCACCCCTGACCCAGTCACTTACGGACCACGCGCCGCCGAGGGCGATGCGAGCCCCGTCCACCTCCGGCCCCGAAGCAGGGCCTGCGCTGGAGGCTCCGAGGCCACGGGTTCTTGGCACGATGTCAGCAGAAGGGGGAAGCTAATGTGCAGGTTCCAGTGGCCAGCAATTTCACCTGTAGTTCATTCCGTTTTTCCTACCCTTCCCCCCCCCCCCCATCATCAAAGCTTGCAGGCGTTCCCTGCATCGTTGCTCCTAAGGGTTTGGAAACGTTGCATCCTGATGTTTACAAAATGCCACGTGGCCCTTTGGAAGAACGAAAAACTCAAACAGACAGCGCTTACACCGGGCGCGCATGATGGAAAGCATTCCGATTTTACATCTCCTTCACAGGGACGCCTTCCCAGGACCCTGACGGGTGCTCTCACCTGCGCGGGTGACAGGCCGAGGCCAGCGCTGAGCCCTGGCGGGCCTCTGACGGCCGCGCCCCAAGAGCCCGTCCCAGCCCTCGGGGGGCAGCGGGCATTTTGTGTCTCCTCATCATGGCGCTTCTGAGAGCACCTCTGGAATCGCAGTAGAGGAAAGTGGGAAACGCTGACTCTCTGCCCGTCAAGGCCACAGCGCCTCGCTGGCTGCTGACGCCGCTTGGCAGCTGCTCCCAGCAACAGGTCCTCGCCCCGCCGGGTGTGAAGCTGACGGTGCCATCTGGGGCTGGCAGCGCTCCAACCGTGCCTCCCGAGGGATCTGCTGCTGACGGCGGCCTCAGGGGGGCGAGGTGCCGGCTGCGGAGCTCCCTCCTCCTAGGGGACACCTGCCCAGCGTTTCCCTAGTCGGCGATGTGGAAGAAAAGCTCTTGGTTGATATCTTTTTTTAGTGTAAAATGTTCATATTTAGGATTAGCCGCTGGACTCGGTGTGGACGATCCCAAGTCGGCTGGCAGCGTCCGAAGCGTCCTCGTCCGGAGCCCGTCCAGCACAGGCCTTCTCCCCTCCCTTGGGCCCCATCGGGCTGCGGGCGTGGCCACGGCAGGTCTCAGAGCTTCCCCCGGCCCCTCGGGTCTGCTGCTCCTTGGCCTCGGCCTCCCCGATGAACACAGCGTGTTGCTGTCTTCTGTCTCCTCCGCGGCTGACTCGGGGCCTGGGGAACCTGATGATGGCTGAGTGGTCAGGCTCATCCCCCAGGGGGCGCTCTTCCAAGGACATGTCGGCTGCCCCTGCGCCGCAGCGTCTCAGGCCTCCGGAAGTGCGCAATGTGCGCATCTCCTTTCTCTTGTGGCCGGGGGCGCCTTTCAGTGCCACTTTCTTTGCCTTCAGAGCCTTTGCCTCGGCTTCAGCTCTGGGAGGGGAAGGGGCCTCCATTTTCACTTTGGGCGCCATCTCTGTGAAAATCTTGGTTGATATTTTATCTGTCTTCCCTTGCCTTCCTCAAAACTACTGCCCCGCGCTGCAACGATGGGTCTCCCCCCTCAAGAGTGGGCCAGGTGCCACCTCCAGAGAGGGCCCGAAAGCACCGGGAGGACGACCTGTAGGTGGGGAGCTGCACCGTCAGTGAAGTTCCAGAGCGTCACGTCAAGTTCTGATTCGTGCCTGTGTGTTCAGACAGTTACCGTTAAACAACCGGCCCTGGGAGGCGTCCTCAGCCTGTCCAGGGAAGCCGACCTCGCCTGCTCTCCCCTGTGAGAGTGGAGACTGAGGGGAATGAGTTTGAATAGTAGGGGATGGAAGAGGGGACGAGGGGACAGAAAGGTTTGCCGGAGAGAAGTCGCAGAGCTGGGAGAGAAAGCTAAAGCCAGACTTCCTAACTCCAGCTGGAATCACACAGACTAGTGCGCCTGCCGCCGTTGGTGGCTGTGCTCAGGCCGTCCTTGGATGAGCTGAGACAGCTCAGCGAGCCCTGTGGCCGTCCCACGCCCCGCAGTCTATTGAGGTCACTCTCACGACTTTCTCTGAGGCTCTTCTGTGAGATGCTGGCGGAGTATTTAATTCCCCCTTCTCGTCTTGGGCAATCTGGTTCCCCTTCAGCTTTAACACCTATTTTAACTGGACACCATGTAGTTCTTGTGCCCATTTCATATTGCCAACCGGCCGGAGGGACTGTTTCAGTGACGCTTTGCCCTTCTGCTGAGAACAGCCGGGCTCGGTGGCACTCGCTGCCGTTGGTGGTGCTGGTTCTCGTTCTGCAAAATGTTGTTGCCAGAGAAAGCCTTTCCTGCAAAGCACACATGTCACAAATCCTCGGTGGCTCTGTCCGAGGGTGCCTCCACTGGGCCAGTTCCCCAGGAGCCCGCAGGCGAGATGCCAGCCGTCCTCATCCCGAGTGCGCACGAGGGGTGTGCAAAGAAGAGGGTGCCCTTAAAAAACTCAGTTACGAGAATCAGTCTGAGTTCTCCCTTTTCCAGGCAGAATTTATATTTTAGTTCAAAGAAAAAAAGACTTTCTGAACCTTGAAAGCCTCAGTAGAGTGTTGAGTTTTCAAGCTGAATAGACAATGGGGCTGTCTCAAGAGAGGGTCTCCCGAGGCAACACAGCACCGGGGCGCAGCGCCAGGTCAGGAGCTGGCCACGCCCTCGAACGCGAGCCTGCCCGAGGTCACAGGGGAAGGGGAAGCGCCGGCGCTGTGCACTGTGCGACCTGCCGCGCTGCCCCCGCCCCCCACTCTCGGGCGCCCCTACTCCCTCCCTCCCTCCTGTGCAGCCCTCTGTTTTCCTGCCTTACACCCAAAGGCTTTGGGAGACCGAAACCCCGCAGGAAGGGCTCTCGTAGTACTAATCAATACCTTAGTGAGGAATTAATTTAACGTATATCCACCATCCCGCCTTACACACAAGTCACACAACGGAGCGCGCCGATAGCTGGAGCAGCTTGGCCCCTGCAGGCAGCGCGCGGGAACCGGCCCTACCTCCGCCCTGGCAGCGCGTGCGGCGCGGCGCCCGGGCTCGTGCGCGTCCCTTTGCCTGGAGCGGCTTCGCCCCTGTCCACCCGTCAAAGCCCCGCTCGGACCGTCTCCCAGGCTGCGGACGCTCTCGCCCCGGCTTCCCCTGCAGCCGGCTTGGACTTCCTCCTGACACAGCGCTTTCACTTCGTCTCAAAACCAGTTAGGCTCATGTTGTACCTCCCTCCAACGAACCAAAAGTTCCTCGGTAAGATTATTACATGTAATTTTTTAAATTTTCAGTGCCCAGCAAACTACCGAGCGCACAGGAGTGGTTTACTACATACCTAGTGAATGCATGAGTTAAAATGAATATGAATCCAGTTCTACATGTTGACAAAGTATTACAAGGAGAGTTAACTGATTCTTTGTGCCATCATTTCTTCTTGGTCAAATATAAAACTGTTTATTTCAATCTCTAACAAATTATTTCCGGGGCCTAGGGCCAAGACTTTACCAATTATAGTTTAAAATAAAACTAATCTTGGTATCCTGTCAGTATACATAGCAGTCAAGTTAGATTCAAATTATATGATTTTTGGAGTATCTGGGTTTTCATTCTTTAAGAAACGTGAGGTTATGTTAAATGCAGCATAGGAAAAAGTAGGAGTAACTTGATAAAAATGATAATTTAGTGTATAACTAATAAGGTTAAAAAAAGAAAAATAGAGGATCCAATAGAAACGATTCGGTGTGTCCCTGAGCCGGCCAGCCCAGCACACGGCCACGGAGCCACCACCGTCCCTGTGTCGGCGCCGGAGTCAGGCCCCTGCGGGACACAGGGTAGGACGGCAGCCCCGCCCGCGGTCCACGGTGTGGCCTTCGGCAGAAGTGGGGCCGGCGCCCCCAGTCTCCACTGAAGCTCCGGTTGCCTGGCGTCGGGGGCCGCTCAGGGCGGCCGCGGCCCCCCCGCTGCTGCCCGGCTCCGCGTCGGAGGGGCCCAGGGGCCCCGGCTCCGGGGCTCCTGCTGCAGGCCCGCTCTCGGGCGCCTGGCTCCTGGCTCTGGGGGGCTTCTGCCTGTCGGAAGGGCACTGCCCCTCGCTGAGGAAGCTCCCTCGTGCCCCTGGTGACCAGGGCTGTCCTCGTCCTCACGGGGTCCTGAGCAGTGGTGCGAGAGGCTGGGTTTGGGTGCGGCCCAGGCCTAGCTTGCGTCGCCCAGCAGAGAAGGCAGCGCCGGTCAGTCACTGAGAGCAGCCGGGCCACGCAGCTGGCACTGCATCCTGGGCTCCTGACCGGACCCCCCGGGAGGCGCCCCTGCTGCCCGGGGCCAGTCGGGTCAGGGAGATGACGCACATGCCCCTCTTATTCCGGTGAAGTATTTAAGGGGGCCCTGCTGTAGTCTGCAAATAAATCAGTCACTCTGCTAATGGCCAAAGTTGTCCAGACAAGCTTAAGTAGCTATAAATTTCAGAGGTTATTGCAGGTCAGAAAGCACCCCTGACCGGCCACCGTTGGCGGCGGCCCCTGGACAGGCCCGTGCAATCCACCCCCCACCCCCACGGGCAGGCCGGCTCCTTAAAGTGGGGTCACCCGGACTCGCTCCCACGCGCCTGCTCCCCGAGGCGCACAAACACCAGCGACCTCGCGTGTCTGCCGGCCGACAGAGCCCGCCCGCGGAGAACAAAAACGACGGTGTTTTGTTTTTGCTGACACGAGCATCTGAGATCCATTGGGTCGCATTTCCAGAATAAAACTGTGGTTTCTGGTGTGACCTAAATGTGCACAAAACACGGTCTTCATGCCACGCAGACGTTCACAGAGCGAGAGGCTCCTGGCTGTGAGAAGGCTGCATTAGAGCCCCTGGCGGCACAGGTCGCCGCTCAGCCGCGCGCCTGCGCTCCTGAGAGAGCCGCACGTTCCCGCTCCTCGTCGGTGCACGGGTTCCTTCTGTGTCCACAACCTTTGCGAATGCACCTGCGAGAGAGAAAACAGAGACGTGAGGCCACTTGGGCCTCTCTGCGTGACCCTTCCGAGCTTCACTTTAGGAACCACTCGATTTCTTTTAGCAAAAGCAGATTAGCTAACTATCAAGTGTTCTCCGAGCCCGAGCACCGCGCTCAGCAGAGCGCCCGACGGTTCCCTTGCCTGGTCGTTGAGACCAGTGCGCTCCCACGTTCCGCTCTCCCGCGACGCGGAGCTGTTATTAAAGAATAACACATGAAGTTCAGGGTCGCTTAGGACCTACCAGAGGGCGTGATGAGCACTTCCCACAGCCGGAGAGGCGGGTTCTTTGCCCTGCCTAAAACAAACGCCGTCACCGAAATGCCTCTTAGAAAACTGGTGAGCTCCCAAAGGCTCTCCCTGCAAAGAAGGAGGGTCTCCAGGAGCTGGGGACAGTGACCGAGGAGCAGCGCATGACTGTGCCCCTCGCACCTGCCTCAGCAACCTCCTCACTGACGAGCTCCCTTCCGCCGCGTCGGCTTGGGGTTCACCTTTGCCGTCGGACACCACCGCACGTGACCAGACCAGTGCCGCCCGCTGCGTGGGTCCCGGAAGCGGGCAGCGCGCCGCTGAGCACAAGGCACAGAGGAGGGGGCCCTGGAGTCCCTTCCTCAGTCACTACCCTGAGGAGGGGCATTGTCGTACCGTCGTTGTAACCAAGGCTCCCGTCCTAAGCGAAGGGGATGGGAATGTGCACGTGAACAGAGGGTTGCAGGGGGCTGGAACCTATTTTTATTCCCCTTTCTTGGTTTTGTACACACTGCACCAAAAACAAAAACAAAAACAAAAACAAAACAAAACCTTAAAAACATGTTTTGCCTGCCTGCCAGGACCCATCCCGAGTCCTGCAGACCCGCCGCATCCAGCCCCGGCCCCGGCGCCTCCACAGCACTGGGAGGAGGGAGCCGGCGCTGACAAACGGCACGCGTGAGTCCCCAGCACGGTGCGGGGCGACAGGACCCAGCCACGGAGGAGGACGCGCCGCACGGGCCTCTCACAGGTAAGGAGCCGGGAAGGCAGGCGTGGACATGTCCCCCTGCCCCGCCTGGGGGAGCAGCCGGCGCCCCCTCCTCTCTTCTTTATTCTAGAGGAATGGAAAAGTTCTCCAATGTGGAATTCTCATATTTAAAAGTGCACACCGCCCTCCCAGGTCCCAGTCACCTGGATTTGTGAAATGTCATCGTGCAGAAAAGTCAAGGTGAACACTGACCTCGACGGCACGCGTGTGAGGCTGCTTCCGCGAAGGCAGCCGTCGGCCTCCCAGAAAGGGCCCAGGAAACTCTGGCCTGGTGCACTGGGGTGGTTTGCATTAGAATCATGTTTGACTTAATCACCAAACGGAAACTCATCATGCTCCCTGGAAAGCAGCTGATACTTGGCCCAGAGTCCAACCCTCTGCCGTTGGAAGAGATTGAAGAGGGATTTGGCGGCAGCAGCAGAACCGGGTAGAAGAATTTGGGGATGGGCAGCATTTGCTACATGACGCTTAGGGAGGTGTCACAGG